AAAGCCCAAGGAATAAAAGAGAATCAAAAATATATATTAAAACAATGACTATTCTCTGCACTTTGGTTTTTTAAATGTATTTATGTGCAAATATACGTATGAACAGCTGCAGAATCATGAGACTACAGTGGGCTTTATCTACATGTCACTAGCAAGAGGCCCTCTGAGGTCAGACCTCAGTGAATTCTGCTTCAGACTTTTTCTGGATTAGACTAATCAATCATCATTGGCCAAAATCTGTCGTTGTGTCTGTAGGCACGCTGCAGTAGAGTGGTTTTGGTTGCATAGTGTTAAGTAAACAATTTTTTTCAGCAATTGCATTTGGGAAGCTACCTGCATTTGTCAGTATGCCTACATCTGCTCACACAAAGATATTTGCACGAAATTCCAGCTCATCTGCAATCTGTGTTACATAGGCAAGTACACATTGTAAGCTGTAAGGAAATGGAAAATAATTAAGACATATCTATCTTATGAAGACTTCTCCAGGGCAACCGTTTCTTTTGCTTTTAGAAACATACAGACTTTAAACAATGTATGCTTTGAATGCTCTGTGCGTTACTTTTTCTGCACAGGATAGGTATTTGCTTCCCTACATAACATACAACACCGCAAAACTCATTAGGTAGTATAAAAGTATTACTGTTCAGTCTATGAAAAGATGTGTCCCTGGTGGAAGTAAGCTTAATGATACTGTCAGTAGTACAGAGCTGGCAATGAAGCATCTGCACGGGTAATTCATCCCAAGTGGGAGGGCAAGGAGACGTGAGGATTTCATTTCAATTACTCCCTGTCTGTGGTGAAGGAAATGCTAACTCACCTGGGAGAGCAGCTTGATTTTATTGCAGGACTGTGTCTATCTAAAGTGCTCTCACAGGAACAGGCCAGTGTACAAATGAACCTTGTGCAATGGTGTTTGCTCAGAAAGAAGGTGAGGGGATGAACAGTTAATGAGGACAGGTAGGAACTGATCAGTGTTGAGGTTACAGGGCAAGATAACAGACCACTTGAGGCTAACATTTGTTTTTATAGTAAAGCAAATCTGTTTGGGTTGTTTTGTTGTTTTGTTTTTGAAATAAGGTTTAAGTTTCCTCTTTCCCCTCGGTGTTTGATTACTTGTGGGGACATTTCAAAATGCATGAGTGTAATTGAAAAGAGAGCCTGATGGGAGTCATTAAACTTGCTTGACAGGAAGTGTGGGGGGCTCTTTATGGAGAGGGTGTTTGTCCACAAGCAGGGGACAGTTCTAGGTTTGAACATAATCTGAGCAGTGATATGCATGATGTTACCAATGCAGAACACTTGGATGCGTTGAGAAAAATCTTAAGTTATGATATTTTCAGATGGGGAAAGCAGAGGATGGCAGGATGGTATGTTTTCATAAATACTGGCATACTGACAGTCATCCAGGCCCAGCTGACATCCTGTTTAATGCATGGAGCTATTGCTAACTTTTGGAATGCCCATGAATTCTCAGAGGAAGTGATAAACCCCTACCTGTGAAATTTAAGCTCATTGTTATTACTTACACTGTAATTGTACCTTGAGGCTCTAATTTGCATAACATGCTCTTATACAGCATTTTGGCTGGAACTTATTGCCCTCTGGAGAATCCAAGAGGTCGCATTTTATGCTTTTTAATTACTAATGGAACTTAATTGACAATTTTCAATTGTACTAGTATTGAGAATACTCTGCATCTTACAGATGTTACCTTTTTAATGATAGTGTTACACTGAATTCCCTAAATATGAACAAGTTTAATATATAATTTGATGATTTCTTCATTATCATTTGGTTCCTTAGCAACGCTTATTTTTGACCAAATTAGTTATTTCTTTACTTGATGCCTTGTGACAAAAATACAGAAGTTCTGCTTAATACCTAAAATGATTTGTAGTATTGAATCGATTGAAAGTTTTTGATTAGAACTCTGGACTTGGATCTAAATCAATTCAAAAGTGCTTAGACATCATTTACAGGTATTATGTTTGAAAAGTTAGTGGTTTCATCCTAGATCCAAGTGGAAAAGGTGCCTGCATTAGAAAAGGCACATGCACCATTATTCATAACAAATGACTGATTAAGCAATACCAGATGAGATAAAACGGTGATTGTGGAAACTACTTGTCTGTCCAGCTAGGAGTCCCTTCCCAGTGGGTGACAGAATCTCACAAGGCTGCATGGCAACTTAAATGAAGTTTATATATAACATATGTATCTCCAATTATTTAAAGTACCTGTGCTCTGCATGGTCAGTTGAGTAGTTATAAGAAAGGTAGGTAGCAATGTTTCACCCTAGAGGGAAAACTGGAGAGGAAAAAAAAAAAAAAGCAAAACTAACAGTGTATGTGCCTCAATTCAAGTACTGCAAGTGGTAACCAGGTCAGACAAGTGTTACAGAAAGAAATTACAAGATGTTTGTAGATTTTTGGATTGGATCTTGAAGGCATGCCCTCCAGTTCAGATCAAAAACATATTTGGTGGTATCACAGAATAGGCTTCTGGTGGCATTGCTGTTATCCTAGCTGCAACATTTCTGTGGAGATGAAGAGGTCATTTCTACTAAAGAACAATCCTGCAGCTTTCTAAGGAGCCAAAGAGCCCATGTTATAAGCAAGTGAATAGTAAACCATAGTGATTTTTTGTTGTATTGTTATTATTTTTTTTCCATTGAGAAAGGGAAATGAAAAGAAAGAAAGCATATTAGCAACTTGGAAGCATTTTCCTGTAAAATCTATAATCTCATTGTGGTTTCCTTATTGGCTTTCCTCCCTAAATTTATAGTTGGTTATGTCAATATATTGATGTTGAAATAAGCAAATAAAATCCCAGAAAAATGCCATAAATTGGCCATTTATCTTGATTTAATTCAATGTCTTCCTGTAGATCCCTAAGCTCTTTGCAGAGACTCTTCTTTTGGTGAGAATGTGGCGAGCTGATTGTTCTACCTACCACTGATGAGAGGGGGTGAGATAAGAAGGAGCAAGGAAATTAAAAATCTTGCACAACTTCATTGCTTCTTCTTATCTATTTCCAATAATTCAGCTATATCAAACAGATAGTTCTGAGTCAAAGAAACAAAAGCAGCAAGAACACTATGAAAAACCAACGGCAGTGTAGGGAAATAAAAAATCAGAAGTGATTTTCTGATTTTAATGCAAAATGCTGAATAGATGTTTTCATTCTAGAAATCGCTGTGGCGATGATCTATGGTGTGTTTTCCAAAGATAATGATTTGAAGGACTGCAAGACCTTAGGGAACGTAGATAGTATTGACCTAATAATTCATAGGAATCCTATCATGGAACACTGCTGCAAAAAGAACAAAAAGTTGTTTGTTTGCTTGCTTTTTCTCCCCTTCCAACAACTCTACTAAAAGAATTGTAAATTGGATGAAATGTTGCGCTTGGTCAGGTGTTGCTCATGAAGGTAGTACGTTGTTGGAGCAAGAGCTTGGTAAATTTTCTGTTATGCTTTTCAGCAGAACGATTTGCCAACTTCTCTCCCTCCAAAAAAAAAAACAAAAAACAAACCAACAAACAAAAAAACCACCACCTAACCATAATAGTAACTGTATTGTCGGTACATGTTGGTATTATGAAATTGGAAGGCAAAATACTTCAGACTGGAGTGAAGCTGTGAGACCTATGCTTATGTGAGTACAAATCTAAAGTAAAGAAGAGTTATTGCTTTAAGTTTTGGAAATGGCATACTTCAAATTCCATACAGGTATTACTGGTTGGCAGTATATTCTGTTAGCACAAAGTGAATGTAAACATAGGCAACTGCTTATACTTTGCTCTGCTTAATTTTTTTTGTAAGATAGAGCATTTTTCAGTCTTACCCTATAAGCAAGGAGTTCAACATGAATCAAACAAACTACTGTGACTTTTTGTTTGTTTGCTTGTTACAGTCTATACAGTAAAAAATGAGGCCCAGCTCAACTCAAATAGTTCCAACTGAATCTTTAAAATGTAGTTTTCAACATTATTTTCAAACAGCCAGGACACAGACACACACACCCAAAACCTGAATTAATACAGACTTCTAAGCACTAACATATTTAATAACAATTTCTCAAGTTCCTTATACTGTTATATAGACTTTTAGGATCTCCCAAGACATCGGCACAGAGTCATAAAATACTTTGAGTTCAATGGGGCCCACAAGGATCATCAGAGTCCAACTACATTGCTGTTATCTGACCTTGTCAGGCCACTAGTTTCAGCCCTGCCATATACTAGAGCTCAGTCATCTTTAAGAATGAGTACTGTCTTTGACACGTTTGTGACAACTTAGTGCATGTCACCTTCCTTACAGCACTTTAAGGAGGCTGCTTATTTCTTCATATAAAGCTGCATATTCATACAGTCTCTGTCGGGTAAACAGTAACTTTCTCATGAAGTATTTTTTTGTAATTCCCAAATCTCCCCAGTCATACCTGGCTTTTTTGGTTGAATGTGTTTGTAGCATCTACACTTCTTCAGTGACACCAAAATAATTTTCTAACAGCTTATGTTTCAGTTCAAGTACAATTGTTTTAATTTTCCACTGAACAAAATTTCAGTGCTGGACAATTTGTCTTGCACTGGGGCTTTTGTGTGATACAGAACTATTGTGTTCAATCAAATCTTTATTAGAAAAGTTCTTGAGTGTAGTAGGGGATAACAAGAATAGTGAAGGCGTAAGACAAAACTTAAGTATGCATCTTTTGCTCTACTTTTCCAATATGTTATCTGTAATAGTCTAAGAGTTTTCTACTTACAAGTTTATCAGCTTCACTTGAATATTAGAATTCAGCTAAGCTATTCTGTTATTCTGCATATTGACTGAACTTGAAAAGCAGTATCTGTCAAATATGGCTTCCAGTTTTTCCTGCTCTAGCTATGCTAAAAAAAAAAAATGGAATCCAATGACTTACCACATTCCAGCCATCGTGCACCTTCCCAGGCCTCAACAATACAAACCACATTCCTCCTTTCCTTCATTATCATTTCATTTGTGGGTGTCTCTCCTGTAGCTTTCTTTGACTGGTTTGTAAATTTGAGCTAAATGTGAAAGAGGAACATCTGAAATTCTGCTATGTTTTATGGGCAGTCAGGTACAGGAAAGAAAGTGAGTGGAGCCATTACCTCAGCAGCAGCTGGTGGGACAAGCGATACTTGCACACTGACATGTCAATCAGCATGTACATAATCCCAAGCTCACCACAGTAAACTGTCTCCTGTCCCATGGGTGTATCAAAGACTGTGTAGATGAAGCTGGAAAAGAAAAGAAGAATGTTCAAAGAAAGAAAAGACGGAAGGTTATCCTAGCACTGTGCAAACAAAATGGTCCAGTTGGTTCAACATATAGCAGTCAGCCTGGTATAAAAGAACAACAGAAGTAAACGATGGAATAGTGTGTATATGGAACATCAGAAATTGCAGTGAATAGAGGTCTATCACACTTAGTGATAGGGAAATTTGCAGAGGTTCAGAAGCCAGTATCTTTTTTTTTTAACAGGAGTTTCAACAGTTTTATAGCCTGAGCATCTTCCAGGTCTCCAACGGGCCAGCAGCCACTAAAATACTTCTAGGCAGGACAGAACTATAAATATCAAAGGAGATATAGGTTGTGCTGGAATATTTGTTGTTATCTTTATATGCATATAAAAAGATTAAACCAACTGTCTTTCCAAAAGAACTGAAGAGCACCACAGACAGAAGTGTATCTCTAGACTAGGAAGATAGAGAACAAAGAAAGTGATAGACAAATCTTTAATAAATCTTTCTAGTAGCTCTCCAAGTGAGTGCAGAGTAATAATTATAGGAAGCATTTATATGTAAACATATTTGTTTTAATTATGTTGTAACCTCCCTTTTAGTCAGGCACAGCTGGTTGAACTATGGGACCTGAAAATGTATTTTATTTGACCCAAACCTTGTATTTTGTAAAGTAATGAGTCATCCAAATACTATTTCTAGTATTTAACAACTATTTTAAACATCCTGAACCTTACAAGCATTTCATTATCATTCCTCCTTCTGAATACCATTCACTATTCCAAGTTAAAAGCATCCTTCTCCCTTGAAGCTCATGTTAGAAAGGGACAGGTTTTTTGCAGCTGTGCACCCGTAACTTTGAAATCAGATATTTCACGCAAGGCCAAAAGCATTACGTAGAATTATGTTTTGGTACAACTGTAAGCTTTTGACCAAACTGTACTTTCAACTTTACTGTCATCTGGAAAAGAAAGGTAGTTTTATGAATGACAGGCAGTTGGTATAATACTTACAGCAGGTTATGTCATTATCCCTCCTAAACTAGAATAGCTTTTTCTTCACAAAGATTTCTTTTCTGCTGTGAAACTGTAGTTATTCTGAAAAGACCCATCATATTTAAAATTTCTATATTTACTTTGCCTTGTGCTATTTCTCATTCGGGCCTTTTTAATTACTCAGGTATTAAGACAAATTTTAAATGTAGCAGGTGACCTTGTATATTTAAAAAAAAAAAAAAAAATCTGTGATGTCACTGTTCCACTGCCTGTGCAAAATATTTTCTCCTCGTCCGTGGTGTAGCAAAATTCCATTTTGCTTTTGCAACTGGGAAGCTCTTGCTGCAAAAGGACAGTGTAAATACACTATACACTGTAAATAAAAGCAATAAATGCCACTCTTTTTCAGACTGGGCTTCATAATTAGTAAGTCAACATAACTACTGTGCCATGATGCATACCCACTTGCAGCCAAGAAGCATTGTGTCCTCTCTAATGTCTTTAAGAACTACATGACACTTTTCAGCAGGGAATTTTCCTGGCTACTACTAAAATATCCCCTTTTCCTAAGGAAGTGCACTAGGCAACATATCATCCGCTTGCGGTTTCCAGAAGCAGTTGTTTCAGTGAAACTGTACGAATTTAAAGAGTTTGGTTCTGTTTCATTTAGGGTAGCAAGCCCTACGTATCAGGGAAACAGGAGGGTCCTCCAGGAAGGCAACTACCAGCTCTGAAGTTCTGTTGTTTCAGTCATTACAGGGACCATTATGAGAGGTATACCAAGGTCAAGTCCTAAATTTTTAGAGTGACTTTAATGGGATCAGTTGAGTCATTTACATCACAGCAGGCAGCTGAGATCAGAACCTGGACCTTTGCCTATGAAATACAGCAGGGAATTGGGGAAAATCTGTGTTAAATATAGAATCAGTTAACAGCAAAGTTCTGGTTATGTCATCACAAACCAGGGAGTAAGCATGGGTGGAATCTGATAATTCTCAAGTAGCACATCTGTGAATTAATTACCAGATTCCACCAATGAAGGCAAAGGGGATGATCTAAGTCCCATGACTCACCAAGTTTTTATTCGTGTTTATAATACGCTGTTTCTAGTGATGAGCGCCTGGCTCAGCACAGCAATGAGCACTGAAGTCCTGCTTTTGTCCTTTATTCTTAGGCAGGTATGCTGAGGACAGTGGTATGAAAAATATATATATCAAGCAATAACAGGTTAAAGGAAATGCTTAGTTACGTTTCCTGCTCTGGCAAATAAAAAGAATATTGGCTGTGTGTGTAGGCCAAAGTCTGCTTTGCTCTTCCTACGTTTGTAGTTAGCAAGCTAAAAATAACAGCTCAGAAAGCTGTTCTTTAAACATGAAGTTTTCTGGCCTCAGGCATAACCAGGAAGAGCAGTGGAATGCACATCTTGAACTGCAACCTTTCTTGTTACTGACAGCTCTGAGTGGAAGAAGAAACACACGGTCTCCACCTAGTAAGACTTACCCTTCTAATACCGATGTGTTGAAAATGCAGTTACAGTGTTATCGTAGGATAACATTAGAGTCACTTGGGTCTATTTTCATAAAGAGCTCAGCGCTGCCCCTCTGCTCCCTGTGAGCCGCCATGAGGCCTCCCCTCAGCTCCTCTGCTCTGGGCCTCAGAGCTCCTCATATGTTTTGCCCTTCAGATCCTTCCCCATCTTTGTAGCCCTTGATAATGTATCTCATTTAAATATAGATTTTTGTTTGTTAATTTCTCCAGGAACGACCCATTGCCCTGCTCCCTGTTGTCTGACCTGATCTAGTGCTGCAGTTAGCAGCTCAGTAGCACAGAGGGAGAAAGAGAGGAGCCATGGCTCACAGTCGTCCCTGAGTCTCAGCCTCCCAGGCCCTGCTGCATAGCCCTCACCCAGTCTAATTCTTTGCTGTCTCTGCTAGTGCTAACTCTGGTCTGTGTCGTGATTGACTTTGAAGGAATGGTCTCCTTTAATTTTTCAGCTGCACTTAACTTTATAAAGCTAATATCTTCTTGCGCTTATACTTGTGTGTCGAACGTCTGTCTCCAAAAGGTTAGTTGGCATCCTGATCTGAAATGAGGGGAAAAGGGCATGTCTAACAACAGCCCCTACCTTGACTGAAGATAACTGCAGACGAGCTTTCAACTAAAGTCATCTTCCCAGTGCATCCTTAATTGACTTAATTTTATGGTCTCAGTACTTGCAGAGGCTGCTTAATAAGTGCTAAAAATATATCATTTCCTAATGGTATAACAAATTTGACTTTAACTACTGTATATTTGGATTAATGTATTCACTACAGTCAAGTTTAAATATCTGTGAAGGTTCTGTATTTTTTTCCCTAAGGGAAGAACACTTCTCCAGCTTTCAGAGCTCTGCTTTTCACTGAGCATCCTGACTGGGCTGCATAAGCCGTGCTTGCAGCTCCTGAGTGGTACCAGTATTTTTTGAAGTGCAACATTATGGGTAGCATGTTATCTTCCCAGGCCTCTTTACTTCAAGGTCAGCAGATATTTTCCTGGCAGAAGCGTACTTTAGTTTTCACAAAAGGGAAAGGAGAAAAAGAGGGAAGTTTTGTCAGTCTCATAAAGAAAGAAGGCCAAGCTCAGGGATGTCTAATGAGGTTGTCCTCAAATATCTTCAGCTGCACTTAGGCAATGACTAACAGGGTTTGGTATGGCTAACAGGCATTTTCATAAGGCACGGCTGGAAAATCAAAAGCTGAGCTCTCCTGCTGTCTGCTCATACCCATGGTCTCTAGGGAGATAAACTGTGATGCATCTGTGTAATGATACATTTTTTTTCTCTGACTGCAAGAATCTGTATTCTAGACTCTTCTGTTTGGTTCCCTAGTTCTGCTTGCTGACAATCACCTGCTCAGGAGCGGTCCCCTTTAGCTAGCCGCCTGCCACTCTGAGTTCTTTGGATGTGTTGAAAATGTCTTGATTATCTGAGCAAAATCGTATTTGCATAATTACAGATAATTTTTATGGATACGTAATATATGAATTATCATGTTTTCTTAATAAGTGCTCAGCAATACTTGATGTTAGTATTTCTCTTTTAAGACAATGAAAAACAGAAATTAATACAAAATGTCTTTAGTTACTAGAAAATGTGAATCCTTTTTATCAGATGTTTAGTGTGATGCTCTAATGTTTACCTGCACCCATGATGCTTCCATTAAGAGGACACTGTATTTTGTTCACCACTCAGCGGTAGATGCATTGAGGCAAAGTTGCACTACAAATCCAGTTTTGGTGTCCTATATATGAGGAAAAAGGTGTAAAATAATAATAATAATAATAATAAATCTGAATAGAGAATTCTTTTAAGGCAATGTCATTTCAGTACATGAAGGTTTCAGAATTTCTTCAGTTTAAGATTTGGAGGTGTTGGTGTTGTTGGTTGTTGTTTTTTTTTGTTTGTTTGTTTGGTTTGGTTTTGACAAGAGCTTGAGTTAACATGCTGTAAAGTTCCTTCTTTTGAATTCAGAGGAACTCCACCTTGGGAGTTAAACTTGGTAGGTTCTGCAATGAAGATATTATCAATACCACTTTCCAGTGTTGACAAGCCCTTAAGTAGCATATTGACATCACCAAATCTACTTTTGTTTCCATGTTCCCCCTGCTGCGCTGCTGTCAAGTACAGAGAAAAAGTTATTTCTGAGTAACTCTTCTTTGGTGAAAATTTTAGTGGTGACATTTCTGTTCATGATAGATTGCACAAAATCAATTTGAATCGACAAAAATTAAGGTTCTGTGATGATAGCCTAATTTTATTTTTTCTCTCCAGAACAAGAACACCAAGTGCTGTTATGAACTGAATTACATTTGCGTAGACATCCAGGCAAGCAAAATCCAGACACTTGTGTTGAACAATGTTGTTAAAGGTAAGTGAAGAACATACACCAATATTCAACATCCAATAGAGGAACCATTAAATCTGTTCTTGTTCTGCCTCTTATGATGTGGTAAAGCTGATATTAGATATTTTTCATTTGAGAAGCTGATTTTTATCATTCAGTGCCAGATATTCCAAGGTTCAAAAATATTCCTGTGCTTTGCAGAAGATATGAGGTGATAACAGTGCTCAGGGCTGTGCGGAGCAGAGTGGCAGGGGCAAACTTCAGTGCTACGGTCAGCTTGTAAAAATGAGATGGAAATGTTGATCAGAGAGGACCACCAGACAGCGTGGGGTTAGCGGGACTGAGCCAGGGCTTCTGAGGTGCAGCAGTCACATGCCTTAGACTAGGTGGCTGGTTAAGAGTTAACGTATTAAAAAAACTAGTTTGAAAAAGTTGTTCCTGTCGGGATGACTCATGTTAGGCAGGTCAGACCTGCATATTCACTTCACTTTAGCGTAATCATGCATGAATGTAAGTTTCTGCTTGTTTCAGTGTCTTTCAGGACTAGGGGGAAGTTGTATTTTGCAAGTGCAGCACATTCATGCTTCAACCCAAAGTTTAAGAAATGATAGTGGTTTGAAAAGGAGCATTCCTCGCATTTGCCACAGTCTTACCAGAATTGGAGGGTTTGGGACTGGGGTCTGCTTTGCGGCTGAAAACAAATCCGGTACACTCATACATTCCAGACGTTTGCGGTGATTTCAAAAACGCTAACGACTATCGATAGCTCTGGGAGGGAGAAGCGGGACCCGCCGGCGGCCCGGGTTGCCCTTCGCAGCCAGGCTGGGGGCAATGGCAGCAGCGGGAGCCGCACGGAGCTGCCCCGGGCGCTTCGTACAGCTCGGCTGGGGCCGGCTGGGGACTGCCCAGCACCCCGGGGCCCTTGAGGCGGGGGGCACGGACAGGAGGTGAGGTGCGGAGAGGCCAGAGGGGCGGGAAACGAGAGAGCCACAAGTTGCCGCGAGGAGCTTGGGAGGGACCGGGGGGCGGGGGCGCGGAGCCGGGGTCCCCCTGCCCGCGGCGGAGCCGTGCGGCGGGGAGGGGAGAGGCGGGCAGGGGAGGGAGGCAGGGGAGGGAGCGGCTCGGCAGCGCCGGAGGGGGCGGGCGGAGGGCGCCTCGAGGCCGGTTGTGCGCGGAGGGGCGCGGGGGAGGCGGCGGGGCCCGGCCCGCTGGCGGCGGCGCTGCGCCGGGGCGCCCCGACTCGCCCCGCCATGGGCACCGGCCCCGGGACGGGTCGGCAGCGGCGCCCCGGCGCGGGGCCGGAGGCGGGCCGAGGGTGCTGTGACCCCCGGCGCGGCCCTGCCCACCCGGCCGGCACCGGTACCGGCGCCGGGCAGGGCGGCCCAAGGCGCCTTTCCCGCGGCAGCGGCTGGAGTTGTCGAAGTTGGTGGTGGCCGCGATGAGCGCGGCTTCTCTCCGCTTCCCCGCCCGGCGGGGCCCCTGATGGCTGCTGCCCCCGCCTCGCAGGCTGCTGGGTTTGGTCTCGGGTGGCTTTTTTTTATGTGTTTTTCTTTTTGTTATTATTTTTCTCCTCCGTCTCGCTCTCGCTCCAGCCAAGGTGAATGGCCCGCGGTGGGTGTAGCTGGCCTCAGCGGCTCCGCAAGGGGAAAATGCTGGCGGTGGGGGTGCTGGCCGGCCTCTCGGTGCTCAGCCTCCTCACCTACGGCTACCTGTCCTGGGACAGCCTCGGACGCGGCCCCGGAGAGGCGCCGGCAGCGCTGGGAGAAGAGCCGGGGGTCGGCGCCCCCAGCTCGCAGCCGCACATCATCTTCATCCTGGCTGACGATCAGGGCTTCAGAGATGTAGGGTACCACGGCTCGGAGATCAGGACGCCCACTCTGGACATGCTAGCTGCTGAAGGGGTTAAACTGGAGAACTATTATGTTCAGCCTATGTGCACACCATCCAGAAGCCAGTTTATCACTGGAAAGTAAGTTTACTGCTTCGTCCTTCAACTCACAGGCTTAAACGCCATTCCTCTTGAAAAGAACCCGGGTCTCTTGGGTGGAACCCTGTCAGGTATGCCTCTGCCTTACCCTGTAGGCAGAAGAGTGGCTTTCCGATTCGCTTAAAAACCTGGAGTGAAGTGGACTTTCTTATATGTTTGAAGTAGCGAGATAAAACTTGCACTCTGAGAGCCAGTAAGAATTCAGCACTGTGAGCTGCCCTAGCAGAGTGTTGTGATACGTGTACGTTTACTGCATTGCTAACATGTGTGCTAGTTGTCAAGTAATGTTGCTGGTACTCCAAAGCGATCAGCTAAGGATTTGCTGTTAGATTTTGTCGTGACTTTGAGGAGGGCTGCGTGCTAGGGAAGTGTAGGTGTGAGGTGTCCTCGCACAGACTGCAGCTGCACGTTGACTTGTTGGTCATACTGAGCTTCACCTTAACGCAGGTTCCCTCTGGGGGTTGCATTGAGTGTATGGGATGGTTCCACAATGCCTCACGCGTGGATGAATGCAAGGGCTCAGAACTCTTAGGATCCTCAGGGCCACGGAATCCCTCTTATCATAATGCAGCCACCTCTTTGCAAACGTTTGGAAACTTTTCTCTGAAGCCCCTGAAATAGGGGCAGTGGTAAGAGCAGCGGATGGGTATTGTGTAACTTGCTGCCTTTGGTAGTTTGTGTGTTACCATGTTCCATTAAGCAAACAATCCAACCTCAGGGCATTTTACATGAGAAAGCTACTAAGATTTAAGGAGAGGGGCTGACGGCAACAGGAATTTGAGCTGTAGGAATAGTTCCCAAAGAACTCCAAATGTGGACACATTTACTCTGGAACAAGAATGCCTTGTTTCTGTTTAGCTTAACTCACTCTGACAGGAACAGGGAAGTCTTAAAAGAACAAAAATGGAATGAGAGGAAAAAAGTTACTTAGTTTATTTTCTCATTTCTTTAAATATAAACAGGAACAAAGCAATGTTAATACTGCTGGTAGAAGAAACACATGTTTAAATAAAACAAGCAACTGGCCTGGTGTCTTCATCTCCATATGGTAAAACTGGAGATAATTCCTGGTCTCGCTCTAGTTCCAGACTTGCTGGATAAGTGAGGTTTGCACGGAGGACAGGCACGATATCTAGAGCAAGGCTTCCCATGGTTTTTCCTGTGCCCCCGCCCCCCCCCCCCCCTGGACGACTCTAGAGTTGTTTTGAAACATCTACTCACTTGTTCACAAGAACACAGTTGCCCTGCAGCAACTAAAGTAGTATCTAACATGGGTAATTAGTACTGGGAAAGCCTATATTGCATCCTGGTTGTCTTTAAAGCCATGCAGCAGTTGGAAGTGGGGACCAGTGCCAGCAGCATGTAGCCAGCCAGCTTTCTGAGGACCGTGGTTTGGGAACCAGTGCTTTACAAAGGGAACGTTATGCTGCAAAATGACTCAGTCAGCGGTTAGAGGAATGGGAGAAGTGGATTCTGGGGGAGCTGGGGTACCGTGTTGGCTCTTGGAGGCTGCAGGGGTTGCCTTTATGCTAAGTAGAATAAAAATAAAGGAAGGAGTAGCAATACCTCACTTTAATTATGTTGATCCTCCATTGCAGAGTGTTTACTGTGTAAATACATGGTAACAATCAGTAGGCATGTTGTAAGGAATCCACTTTGTTCATCAGCTTGTCAGGCGGAAATAATTCTGATAATCTGCCTACTTTGGTTTTGGAACCTTCTATAGGAAAAAGTAAATTTGCTTATACTTCATCTTTATTTTCTCAGTCTGCTGTTCTGAAACCTGTAGAATTTTTTTATTTTTTTTTATGTTGTTCTACTTTGGGGATAAAAGCAGCAGAGAGAGAAGACTGCATGACTGAGAAGTAAGGAAGGAAATGGTGACAGATTAATAGGTTTGGGTAAACTATTTACAAGACAGATCCAGAGGGATGCAGCCTGAAGATAAATGCTGGTGATAACTACTCTGAATGCAGAGGTGCCTTAATTAAAATGCCAGGACTCAGAAGCATTTAATCCAGGAGAAGTGCTGTTATTTCTTGAATTCCAGCATGTGTTAGTTCAAGCCTGTTCGTTCACTGAAGGCCCACCTGGATGCTCTGTGCTTCCCAATGCACATACTGTGCGTAGCGTGTTCCAAACGGTAACTGATTGATCTGTGGAAAACAGAGGAACTTGTGTAAACCAGAGTCATTAGGAAGCCCTGGCTTAAATTGCCAAGTGGAAGTTAGACTTCAGGCAAAGAGACTTTGAATGCTCCAAATTCTTTGTACGTCTCCAGGCAATCTCTCTTAGGCTTACACTAGTAAAGGGACCCTTTTTTGGTAGCTCTCCCATGCTAGTGAATGACTGTGGGGGAGAAGGTTAAAGAGCTGAGGTTAATCCCTTTTTTTTTTTCTTCTCATGTTATCCACAGCACTGCAGCTGGTAAGTCTGTCTTTTTCACCATTGCCTCTGTTTCACTTTCTCATGTCCAGAGCTTGACTCTTTGGCCTCCTTTAAATTCTTGCTCTCCACCACTGTTACCTGTCAAATTCCTGTAGGCTAAGAGTGAGGCAAGGTTCTACAGCTTTTATTTCATTCTGTATTTAAAGGTGCAGGGAGGGGGCTGCAGCTGAGCTGAGTGTTGGAAGTAGGGAAGAAATGTGTGAGCCAGTGGGCTGGCTGCCACGTGTGATGTGCTGTCCCGGCAGGCTGTGCTGGGGCCACAACAGGGAGGGGAGTGAGGCGACTCTTGGGAAGCAGCGCAGCCCTTGCTCTGCAGCTGCACCAGTGACCTGGCTGAGAGTTTGCTCCTCGCTGAGCTATCCTGGAACTGCTATAGTTCCTGCCTGGGCTCCTGCAGCTGGCTTGAGAATTTGATAGCCAGTGCTCTCTGAAGACTTCCTGCTATTGTTATGTGCTGGTTTTAGCAGGGCAGCGGGCTGCATATGCTCAAGAAGTATTGAACAGCTGATAAATTGTAGAAAGACTGTAGACAAGTTAGAATTTGTGTTCCACACCAGTTCTGTTGCGTGACACAGTATTCATTTTAGCCTCTTTCTTAAAAGTAATAGACATGGCTCAATAAGGAAAAATAAGTACATTTCTAAACACATTATTTTATTGGAATTTACATAGAAGATCATAAAAAAGTAAGGATTGTAGCCAGGTTGTAATCAGGTGGTAGGAAAAGGGTGCAAAAACACACAAGGGTGCTCAGACTGTGCCCAGGTGACACCACAGGCTGGCATGTGGTGAAATACTCCTTGAGTTAGCTGTTGTATCTGTGTGCTTAATGGCCTTGATGACTTCTTATTCCTGTAAGCTACTTTTGCCAGTAGAGTTTAAGATGGTCTTGATTTATTGAACACTACAGGGTTATATAACATACAATGAAAATCTTAAGATTATGTGTGAAGTTTTTTGTTTACCTGTGTGTAAGAGTTGTCTGAGGTGAGATAGAAGGTACGTTGTTAATCTGCTATGGTATGGTTAGATGTAGTATTGCTTATTTACATAATTTCTTACATTATCACAAACAGTCATCTCCTTTTTAAAAGAAGGATTACTAAAGCATAGGTAGTATAGACATTTTCCCAGAGCTTTTAAAGAAGTTTTGAAAGATTATAACCAAAAGGAGAAGTATTTCTTTTAGCTGGTGAGACAAAAAGGCTGTAAGCTTAGCTACCTCAACAGATGTTTATCTGACCCAGCTCTATAATATGCAGTGTAGTTGTATTCACTAGACTGTACTTCATTTAGGAAAGGAATTTGAGAAACAAGATGGATTAGAATAGAAGAAATCTAGTCAAAATATGTCATTCTTTTTTTTTTTTTTTTTTTTTTTGGCATTACAAAGGCAGCAGGTAACTAACTCCAGTTCTATGTCCCTGGTTTTCTAAGGGATCAACTCGGTCTGTTACGTGCTCTGGACTCCTTTTGGGCCACAGGAAGGCTTCTGATATACACAGGAGTATGGGGATCTGTGTTTGTAGAAACTGATACACAGCCAGGGTTACAGATCACTAAAGAATCTGAACTCCCTTTTACGATGAGTACTTATGAATCATGGAAGCCCCACACTAATCTCAGGAATAAGCTCTGCATGATGGATGGAATGTGGAGATGGAAGATGTTGAGAAATGTTGAAGATCTGGGGAAATAAATCCCTTTTCCCCTGAGAGAAAATGAGATACAGTGAACTTGCTCATCCAGAGGAGACAGAAGTAGGCTGTAATAATTTTATGTGGGTTCATTAACTGTGTAAATAATACACACATGTGTATTACTTGTTAGTATGCATGCTCATCCAGGCATGACTGGATGTGTAGCTGTATGTTGTTCACCATTAAAAATGACAATATCTCAGCAAACTAAGAGTTATTTTGACAAGTAGAATAGAAGAAAGTTTAAAATATTTTTAATTGAAAGCAGTGCAGCTGACTTGCAAGCAAACAGAAATATTCTAGTTTGAGGGTTCAGACTCTCGATACACCTTCTCCTGCCTCCTGGGCTCATAGGGAGCGATCTCAGCTGTTTGGTTGCTCTGAGCAGGATTCAGAACAACCATCTGTGACTGAGAAGTTATCTTCTGCCTCCTGAGGTGGAGGGTCTCAAAGACCTGAGGTCTGTACTCTTCACTGCCCTGTGTGAGCCCTGAACCAGCTGGGTATTGGTGAGCTATCAAGCAGAGGAAGGCCACCAGGTCAGATATTCTCAGACCACCTTGCAAGAAGTGAACTTGGAAGCACGTGAGTGATGGGCAGGCCCGCCATGGCAAAAGAGACAAGCACAGAGACCCAGGTGGTTTCTACGGGTGATCAGCACATTCAGAAAAAATTTATTGTTCTATAGGAAGAAATACTGTGAATAACACTCCATTATATTTGTAATTAATGAAGTATGAAGGATTGCAAAATGTCTGTCCAGTGTGTCAAGAGATGGCCTTGTACTGTGTCTGCTCTGATATGAAGAGATTTGGCAGTCATTGGTCTCGAGTG